AAAAAACGCATGAATTTTAAGTGGAAACTTTGATGTATTTGTTGTTTTACAGAAAAACTTGTACTGAAAATACCTTGGAAAAATCTATACCGAGATCCAGTTGAAGCTACTGTGGAAAGACTTTACCTGTTAGCTGTACCGAACCAGGAAGTGAAGTATGACCCTGTTAAAGAGGAGCGCTGGGCCCAAGACGCAAAGCAGAACCAATTAAATAAAGTAGAGGCAGCCAAAAAATGGGAGGCAGAAAAAGGTGATCAACGACAAACTTTCACAATCATGTAAATATGTCTTAAATTTATTTATTTTTCAAATCTAATGGATACTTTTGTGTTTTTATTGTAGATCTTTTAAAGCAAGATGATTCTTTTGTGGAAAAATTGTCCACTCAAATTGTAAAAAATGTGCAAGTGAAGATTGGAGAGATACACATTAGATATGAAGACAGAGTATCAAGTTTAGGCAAACCTTTTGCACTTGGTATAACATTACACAATTTGTCTGTTCAGACAACTGATGCCAACTGGACTAAAGCTATCAAAGATGAAGCTAGTAAATTTATCTTCAAAGAGCTTAATTTGGAAGGCTTAGCTGTATACTGGAACTGTGATACAGCTTTATTCTCTGACAAACCTGTCTCTGAAATGCTGCAGCTGTTCAAAGATGGAATAGCTGCCAAAGAAAGAAAACCGAAAGGATACGAATACAGTAAGTAATCTTCATCTAAGACACAATGGGTGTCCAGCTCTGTTGGAGCAAATGGGTATTCTAGCCCACACAGCCCAAATGCAGGCATGCGTCCGGGCTTTCTAATCTAGTAATATCTCTTGTGATTTGATCTAATTTGTATTGTTTCATCTCTGTTTACAGTGTTGGGACCCATTAATTCTTCAGCTAAACTTCAAATTAACCAGAAACCAGAACAGGATGGTTCAAACTATTCTATTCCTAAGCTACAGCTTAATTTAGAGTTGGAAAAGTTAGCCATTTGTATGTATTTGTATTGATGTTTCTCTTTTAATGGTAGGATGAATGTAAGGAAAATCACACATTCTATTTGAACAAATTTCAGGTATTAGTAAAAGTCAGTACAGAGATGTCATGCTGTTATTAGAATCAATGGACTGGATGACAAGAGCTGCTCCTTACCGAAAATTCCGTCCGTTTGTCCCAAGCTATACTGGACATTACAAAGAGTGGTGAGTAATGGCTGATTTCACTGTCTTCTAAATTGATTTCTGTTGTGGTCTTATCTTACTTTCCCTTCTGTCTTAGGTGGAAATTTGCTTACAAATGTATTTTGGAAGATGAAGTCAAGAGGAAACAACGAAACTGGAGTTGGAATGTTATGCGAGAGCACCGTGGGCTGTGCAAATCTTATGCTGCTGCCTATAAACAAAAGTTGACTTTGAAGAAGATTCCTGCAGAATTAACAATTCAACTGCAGGAAATGGAGAACAAATTGGATGTTTTTAATATTGTTCTTATTAGGCAACGCATTGAAGTACAAGTAGAGAGAGATCAAGCCGAAGAACTCAGGCAGAAGCAAGAAAGGAAGGGTTGGTTTAGCTCATGGTGGGGTGGAGCTGCGGAAGCGGATGCTGTGCAACCTGGATCAGCAGCTGAACTTGGTAAATACAAAATTAAACTAAGGATGACTTTGTTAAGTTTTTATCCTTTATACCAACATTACTACAAATAGGCCCAATCATGTCTCTTCATTTTCAGCCAAGAAAATTGAGGCAGTTATGACCCCCGAAGAAAAAGCAAAACTATACAGGGCCATTGATTACCAGGAAAATACTACACCGGCTATATATCCAGCCTACTTTATAGAAAATGTTTTCTCATTTAAACTCCGCTCGCTAGAAATTGAAGTACGTGATGGTGATGATAAGGTTCGAACCATCCTGAGCTCCAGTTTGCAGGAAGTTACTGCTCAAGTTGAACAGCGTATGAGTGGAAAAGCTCTAAAGTAAGACAATATATTAGTTAAATAATTTGATTCTTTACTATTGGTAATCAGAGATGCACTAGATTGTTGATTTATTTTATTTTATCTTATTCCAGAGCTGTAATCAAAATTACCAAATTTGATGTAACTGGCCTCCCTCAAGGAACACTTTGTCCTGAGCTTGTGTCCTCTAAACTACTTCAGCAGTCTGATTCTGTTTTGTTGGATGTCATGTTTGAGACCAAGCCATTGGATGAAACATGTGATCAGAGATTGAGAATAGCAGCTAGACCCCTACGGGTAGTGTACGATGCTGCGACTGTAAACAGTATAATAGACTTATTCAAACCACCTGAAACACCTGCCCTCCAAAATAAGTAAGTCTTTCCAGTAATTGTCTTATATGTGCCGTAAAGTTTTCTTTTTATACACTGTAGGTGTATTTTGTCAGGATCTCAGACTTAAGGATGATCTATCCTATAACTTTGGATCCACTCCATCCCTCATCGCCAATTTCCTCTACCCTCTCCACTCCTGTCCGCCTCAGTGGGACTGTGTACATGCCCTACTTAATTTTTAGACTTTGTCTTGTGGTTTTGTTATTTTCATATCTTTATTATTGCCTATATCTGTTTTATTTCCCATGTTTGTAGGATTCAAGCTGCAATACCAGTTGCCATGCCTGCTCTGAAGGAAATGTCTGTGCTGGGATTGCAGTATTCTGTTGAACAACAAACTGTTCTTGATGTGATGGTTGATGTGATGCCCTCTCAGATTTTAATTCCTCAGAATGGGGTTTATCGTGGGTAAGCTTATTTCTTAGTTGTGTTTGGTACCAGTCTGTTTTGCAGTATGTAAGAACATTGTCATAAGAAACTATGCAAATTCCAGAAATGAGAACCTACTTGTAGTGAATCTTGGCCGTATGTCTGTTACTACTGCCTCGAGAGACGTCCTTGCAATGGATGTCAGGAAAATGCATCTCCATGGAAGAACTGAAGATGATATACTTCAAGAAATGATATCACGTTCTTATACTAAGTTCACTTTTAAACTGGAAGATGTGCAGGTTACTATTGAGCTGGGAAAAAATTATGCTAATTTGTGATTTTTATCAGAGTGATTTCCCTATATATTTTTAAACATGCAATAATTTATCAGGTGCTGCTGGCATACGCTGGAGAAGATTGGACGGCTGTTATTGATGAGCGTAAGAGATCTGCCATGCATGTTGTCATGCCTATCACCCTCACAGTAAATTTGCACAAATGCATGGTAACTGATGATCCCAGATTACCAAAAATGAAATTGTGTGCTGAGCTAGGACAAATCGACATTCAGCTTCCAGGTTTGTTGCTTCCCCCGATTTTTCTTGCTACCATTGTATCACAGTTCAGCCTTAAATGAAGTAAGTATTCCTCATTTTCGTTTTTGTTTTTTGTCTTTTAAACAGAGGATAGGCTGTTAAATTTGATAAATTTGCCTAATTCCATACCATTTAATGATACTGAACCTACTGCTTTGGGTGCTGCGGTAAGTTGTTTATTAACTGATCATGCAAAGTTTTTTTTTTCTTTTTAAATTAATCTAATCTTACAATTTGTTGAACAATCATTATTCATTATTGCTGCAGGATAATGCTTCACACAGCTCTCAACTTTCTTTGTTCCGCATGGATGCTGAGACTGCCCGTGCCAAAGGTATTCTGTTGCCAAAAATGGAGAAACCTGTTGATTTGCAACCTTTAATGCAAGTAATTGAGCTGGAGGCCAAGTTTGTTTTAGAAAGTGGGTACAAAATCAACCATCCTTTGATATTCATTTTGAAATCAATTGCTCTCCTAAAATTCTGTTCCTTTTTTTTAGTGTTGAAAGTTACTGTGTATGAGCAAAAGAAAGGGATTACGAACAAAGATAAAAATAAAGATGATTTGGACAACTTTGACCCTCTTATAACATTCCGTCTGCTGTCATTGGAAACTGAGTGTGTCCAACGCACATTTGATACTAAGCTGTTCCTTTCAATTGGAGGTATTGATTTGAAGCAGCGTTATGACGGTGCTGACATTAATGCTATTTGCACTCCCATGACTTCGGGCCAGGATCAGTACCTATTTACTGTTCGTTTCACTCTGGTAAGTCCTACAGCCCTCAATCTCTTCAACACTGTAATCAGTTTGTAATGCTCACCGTATGTGTTTGTCAATACTTTATTATCTACCATCATTCTCTAGGTTGACAAGAAGTCCCCAGAACTGCGCACAACACATCAGTCAGTTCTGAAACTACTTCAGGCTAACTTCTCTAAATTAGATGTGCTAGTCCATCAAGAGGCAACATTACAGTTAATAGCATTTGCAAACAGTGTTCAGGTATGCACTACAACACATGATTCTTTTGTCTTACCTCCAGCTTTCTGTTCTTCCAGTCTTTATTTTCCCTGTTTTTCAGAGCTCACTTGACTCCTCAGTCTCTGCTCAAGGGTCTCGCATTGCAACAGCTGGTGGTAAGAAAGATAAAAATCTACCTACTATTCTGGAGGAAGAAGGGTCAACTGTACCAGCTAAAGCCAAACCAGGTATCTATATTAATGTTAAAATTTGCAAGCTTTAACTTTGAGCATTGTATTTTGATGTCCCCATTTTCAATCCAGTTGCCAAGCGTAAAAAGAAGAGATCTGTCTCAACCACTGTGGACCTGAAAATTGTTGCCGAAATGCAGAGTGTCTGTATTCAAATAGAGACTAAAGCAAGACCTCTTACATCAATGATGGTGCAAGGCCTTTTGTTTGGTGCTGAAATGCGAAAATCGCAAACTGAAATTTCTACAAGCATTAAAGATTTTGTTATGCTTGATCTCAATCCTGTCACACTACACAGAAAGGTAAGAAATAGCATCTTATTTGCAAAAATATTCAAACAATAATGATGATATCTATCACACCTCTATTTTATTTGTAGATTCTCTCCATTGTTGATGAAGAAGCTTTATCTGCCCATGTAGTTTTGTATGACAATAATGGAATTGATGACCCAGATGCTACTGATATGACAGTGAAAGTCCAAATGGCGTGTCTACATGTAGTGTTTCTTAATTGGTTTGTGACTTCTCTTATGGTTCGTACCCTTACTTGCTTTGTTCAAATGATGTGCAGCATTGTTGGTTGCTATTGTGTAATAGTATTACATTTTTTAACAGGCTTTTCTTAATAATTTTCAAGCTGCTCAAGCAGCTGTGTTTGAAGCTTCTGCTGCTGCAGCTGCTGTGGCCAAACAAAATGCCAAAGAGGCATATACGAAGGCTACAAAAATGTCACTGGATATTGAACTGAAGGCAAGTACTAAATTTACATCTGATGTGTTTCATTTTTTATAACTAGGTAACATAATTTTTAATTTAATTTATTTTTATTCATGTAGGCTCCCATAGTTTTTGTACCTGTTAATTCTCAAAGCTTTGATGCCTTACTTATGGATTTTGGTCGGCTCACCATCAAGAACTCCTTCCAAAGCTTAGATGTGCAGAAACAGTACCCAGCTGTTCTTGACAAGATTCAACTTGGTTTAGTGAATGTTAAAATGTCAAGGTATGGTTTATTTACCAACTATTAATTCTGACTCTCTTCAGGCACTACTTGCTGTAACTAATGGCATTTTCTTTTAATTAGGGTTCGCCTGGATAAAGAAACAAAAGAGGTCTTAAATGAAAGAATTCTTCTCCAACCAATCAGCTTTACACTCTCTGTAATTCGTAATCTTTCCTCTTCATGGTATAACGAGTCTCCAGACCTCGACTTGTCAGGAAAAATTAACTCGATCAGTGTATGTTTTTCAGTTTTCTTATAAGCGAATGGTATTGTAAAGACCTAGTTAAATACTGATTACCTTTCCATACTGTTCCTTTTAGTTATCTATGACTCAAGCTGATTATCGCATGCTTATGCAAGCACTCTCTGAAAATATGAGTGAGGGATCATCAGAATTACCAGAACCTGTGACACCTGAGCCAGTTGAATCACGTATGACCCTCGCAACAGCTAAAACATCTTTCAGTCATATTCCTGGTTCTCAGCTTCTTCAGTCTAAAGAACATAGTACAGAGCTCACTCCGAAGAAGGTTCACGTATTTATGGTGTTCAGGTTCACTATGGATAGCTTGGTCATAAACCTTTTATCTGGTGGCTCAGATACAGTAAGTTGATGAAATTTGTCTTTTATATTTGCACTGAGCTCTCGTCATTGATCTTGCTTTTTCCTCCTAATTAGCTTCAAAAGATCCCAGAGTCTAAGCCTGAACAAGGGTTAGCTTGCTTTACCTTGTATGTTCTGGCTGTGAAGGGACAAATGCTTTCTGACAATTCTCTGAGCACTTCTGTGAGGCTTGTTGATTGTTTGCTGGATGACACTCGAGTTGGTCGAGAGGGAAAGTTAACGAGATTGATGGAAAGTAAAGCTCTCCTCCCATCTGATGTGTCTCAAGGTATGCTTTCGCCTACCTCAGAGGCTGCGACACGAACTATGCTGGATGTTACAGTTCGTATGAAGCCAAATGATATGTTTGGTGAGTAAAATTATTTTTTCTCTCCTAAAATGATAACTTGCTAGTCATGATATCTCTGTATTAATTTTTCTCTTAATTTTTCAGTCGATGTTCGTATATTCAGTTTCAATATGATTGTTAGCATTGACTACCTCCTCAAGATTAGTAACTTCTTTGTTGGACTTGAAGCAAAACCCAAGCCAGTGGCACCTGCAACATCAAAAACTACTACGCAGTCCATGCCATCCAGTATGCAATCCCGCTCAACTTTGGCTGTTGCAGCCGTGGAAAGTGCTAAAGAAATAGAAAAGCGGTCTCAAACTGTCATGACTATTAATCTTAAACTAGAGAAGCCAGACATACTTCTAGTAGAAGCCATGGATGATGTGGATACAAATGCATTGGTCTTAAATGTGTGTATTTTAGTTCTTTTCTTTTCACACTGACATTTTTCTAAAAGTTAATTTGGTGCCTAATGTGTGCTTGTTTGGTTACCAGTGTGAGCTGTCTTTTAATCTTCGCCAAGAGGGAGAAGAAATGAAAATTAAGGGAGCACTTGAAGAGCTTCAACTCTTCACCTGCTGCTTCAATAATCGGATTGACACAAAGTCACCAGTTCTACAACCTGTAAGAATCAATTTAGCAGGCTCAACAAAACCAGGACAAGGCTTGCATATGGAGGTGATTTCTTCTGATATTCGGATTGCTGTTACACCAGCCACCTTAGAACTTCTCAATCATTGTCAAGCAACACTGACAGCTAAACATGGGCCTGATGAGGATGAGACCAAAGCAGAGGCTGATTTCTCAAATATTTGGGAATCTAAAGGCTTTAATGAATGCGAGTTTTGGTTCTTGAAAACTGAAATGGCCCAAGATGCCATGGCAACACTTTCTGAAGCCTCACAGCCTGAAGAGGAAGTTGCACTTGTCACTCCGCTTTCAGAACTAGTGATCGTTACAATGCCCTCTATAGTTGTTACTGTAGAAGCTGGTGTTGGTAATAAAACAATGCCCATGATTCTGTTAGAAACAAGTTTCCAAGGATATATTAGAGATTTCAGCTCTCTACTTCATGTGGACAGCAGTCTCAATCTTCAAATGTGGTATGCATCTTAATATTTTTATATTCAAGTCGTTTGGCCTTGTGTATGAAAAGTAATTATGCACTTTATTGTTTTTGTTGTACAGGTATTACAACAGCAGTCTAGCTCTGTGGGAACCATTGATTGAACCAGTTGAAAGTCATAAGGGAAATCAGGTCATACATGTTCCATGGGAGTTAAAGATGGAAGTGGAATTTAATGATGTAAATGCAACAGCCACCTCATTTGAAGATTCAACTCTGAGTAATGAAACAGAGGCAGAAACAGCGCAACTTCAACCTCTCATGAATGTTTCAATCTCTTCCAAAGAGAACTTGGAAATAACTGTTACAAAGACAAGTCTTGATGTAATTAGTACCCTTGGCGAGGGCTTCAAGACTGCTATGAAGGATGGTTTACCTAAAATTGGCTCACCTAGTGCAGCACCGTATCAAGTCTGGAACTACACAGGGTTACCAGTGGAGTTGAACCTGGCATCAAGCAGTTTCAAGGTTAGTCTTTCTCACCATTTTTACTTTTGTTTTCCCCACTACTTTGACCTGTTTCCCTAATCCTTCCCAAGCGTATCAAATCGCCAGTTACATTTCCTAATCCTCCCGAGTCCCTTGGTAGCTCTTTGATTTACTGTGGTTGCTCTGAACCATCTGTATGCTCCTCCAATAAGGTTTGATTTTTGCATACTGATAATGTTCAAAATGATATATTTTGGAAATGACATTTTTTTTTCTGCTTAGCTGGCCAACCAACTCGAAAGCAGCGGAATTGCTACAGTTGTTCTAGAAAGTGGCGGGAAGGCTGAGCTAGAACTTAAAGAAGGTGATGCTCATGGAAGAGATGCTTTGGCTCTGAAAAGCAGCTCTGGTGGAACAGTTCAAGAGCGTATCCTTCGTGTAGGAGTCACTGAAAAGAAGGCCATATTAGAACTACCTGTCGTACGTGCAGACAAGAGATATTTCTCTCTTCAACAGAAAGGTGACACAAACCCTTTGCAGTGGGGCTTAGTGTCAGAGGTTCAAGTTGAAGATGGAGGTTTCATTGTTTCTCTTCGCAGCATTATCCAGGTAATTGTAAAATTGCTGTAACAATTGCCTGAGTTTCAGTTTCAATGAAAATTAAAATAATTTTCTATTGATGCGTAGGTTCACAATCATTTCAATGTGGGAATAAATGTTTACTACATGACACCAAGAGGAAATGAAGTTGAAAGTATAGGTGTTGTGGAACCTGGTCAAAAAATCAACTTACCCCTTAAAGCTGTGTACACTCCAACTAGTGAACTATTTTTCAGTGTCGATGGGTAAGTTTTTTATGGCTCCGAACTCTCATCGGTCTGGTCCAGTCCATTCCATTTCCTTTCATGACCCTTTCGGACGGAGGCTATAGCTATCTGGGGAAAAGAAAAAAGATAAGAAGACCTTAAAATTTTTAAAGAGAACTTCATGCATTACTGGTGTTGTATCTATTTATTTTAGGCACTCCGTATCAGTGCAACCCTTTGTTTGGCGTGAGCTTCAGAAGACATTAGGAATGACAAATTTACTGCAGTGTGATCCAAAACACAAAGAAGAAATGGAACCCTTTTTCATCAAGGTTTGTGAGATGATGTTATCTTTGAACAACTTGTATGTCTGTGGAGTGTTGTAAAACTAAGCATTAATTTTATTTTGTAGGCTGTTGGAGAAATGGAGCAAATATTCTATGAAAATACATCCCGACATACAATGGCTAGCACATGCTACAATGTCCACTTACGTCCTGCTGTAATTCTGAAAAATTTCCTACCTATTGACCTGGTTTGTCAACTGCAAGGTGCACCAGACGAAAAGCCTTTGAAGGCTGGGGAACGCATGCAAATTCCTTCTGCAGAGCCTGGAAACTTCACCATAGTTCTTAGGGTATGCATTTATTTGATGTAAATTGTACATGTCCATTTAGTATTTTTTCTTGAACTAAGCTGATACTTCTGCTTATAGATTCCTAAGTACCTTGAAAAGGAATGGTCATGCAAAAACCAAATAAGAGCCACCCCATCAGAGTTTGCTGTCTGGGTGTTTGAGTCATTTGACAGTAATGAAAGGGTCTGCTTGGACCTTGGTGTTCATTCAGTCTCAAGGAATGGTTCACTGTCTATGGCTATTTATGCACCATTCTGGATGCTCAACAAAACAGGCCGCATGCTTTCCTATCGGGTGAGTTATTGAAAAAGGAGTGTAGCATAGCTCAAGCTTCCTAGTCAAATATTCCAGCTAAGCTCCCTACTGCCTTGGTTTGCCCTATTTTACAATGTCCTCATTCTACAGCCCCTGAATGTTTCATTCTTTTTCTCTTACTTATTTAACCTTCCCCTTGAGATATGCAGAAGCGAAGAAAACCTAAGAAAAAGGTAATAGTTTATCAAGGATATACCCCTGTACAAGAGAAGTCTTCTCTCTCCTTTAAAAAAATATAAAAATAAACTGGCTAGATTTTCTCTCTTCACCTCTGCTTTGCAAAGCCTTGTGTTCACAGCTATTAAATGATAATTTTTTAAATCTCTTTCTAAGACAACACTATAACAATAAAATTATTTTATTTTACCATATAGCCTGCAGAAGAAACTGGAAATGTTGTTTACCATCCTGCTAACTTCAAAGGGCCTGTGCTATTGTCATATCGTGCAAAAGACCTGCATAGTAAGAAGAAGGCTGCTCTCAAAATTGAAGATGGTGAATGGAGTACAAACTTTCCCCTTGATGTGGCTGGAAGTTCCGGGCTGATCAACTGCAAAGTTGAGGGTGTTGTATGTCAAATTGGAGTCCATATCCAGCTCAACTCAAACTCCTTAACCAAACAAGTGACTTTCACACCTTACTATGTATTGGTAAACAATGCTCCTTTTGCCATTGAATGTCGTGAAAGTGATAGGCCTAATGATCCATGGATAAAGGTAAACACCATTAAATGTGTCTTTCATTCTTGATTTATTTTTAGAAATTTACAAATGACTAACATAATTAATGGGTTTTTTTTCCATTTAAAAAAATAAATCAGGTTGAACCTGGAGCATGCAATCCCTACTGGCCAATCAGTTCTACCAATGAAGATGGGCTTCGAGTTCGAGTGGCTGGAACAATTGAAATGTCTGGCTCTTTCTCCTACAATTCAGTTTACACAGTCCTCCTCAGATTGAATAACAAATATGGTGGTCTCAATGTTGATGTCCAAATGACTGAAGGAGGGGTCTATATTTCATTCACTCCTTATGAGCCAGGTCTTGCACCAGCTCTAGTGATCAATCATACCTCTGAAGTTATTCAGATTTGGGAATCTGGTTCTGGATACATGAAAAAACTAGGAGCCAGGGAAATGGTGCTGTTCGCTTGGGAGAAGCCTTCTGGTGACAGATCTCTCTGCTGGAGCTGTAATAAGTCAAAAGAACTGAGTGACAATTTGAGGAAGGATGGTATTGGTGAATTTCACCCTCACCAAGGAGTTAAAGTATACTGGGTGAGCTTCTTGGATGGAATTCAAAGGGTGCTACTGTTTACTTCTGATCCTGCTGTAGCGAGGGATGCTCAATCGGCTGGCGAATTGGAGGTGCCTTCAATGGCAGTCAGCATTTCTATCTATGGTCTTGGGCTTTCTCTGGTCAATAGTCTTCGCCAACAAGAACTTGTTTACATTGGAATAGCAAGGTTTGTTCACTACTTAGCCAGTTGCTTCAGTATTGCAATTTGTGGTGATTTCTTACATCAATGTTATTTTTACAGTTCTGGAGTGATTTGGGAAACAAGGAAATTTAATGGATCACGGTTCAAACAGTTCACAATGTCTGAGGGACTTCTTATGGAGGAAGCGTGGGAGAGATACAATCATGAATTGCAAATTGGTAGCTCACCTAATCCACGTGTGAAGGTTGGAAAGTATGAGGTGAGTGAATTCTCTTCGGCATTATTTGGTTTAAAATTTCAAATGTCTTCCTCCATTATAACTCATAATTTCTTATTATTCCTCAGGTTGATTTTGAGAAAGAAGAAGTGTTAGCTCCATCAAAGCGAGTTCTACGTCGTTCCTTCCAAACCGGTCTGTGGATTCAACGCAAAGTTTCGGCTCATCAAGAACAGCTTCATGTTAAAGTAAATCGCCTCCAGATTGATAACCAGATGGCAGATTGCATTTTCCCTGTAGTGCTAGCTCCTGTGCCTCCCCCTAGAAGTGTTGCTGCAAATAGTGGTGAGACAATTTTTCAACTTATATATCCTACATCTTCTTTTGCCAACTTCAAATCTATCTATCCTACTTTTATTTAAAATTACAGTTTTGAAACCGTTTATTGAAATGAGTATTGTTAAGAGACTAACTGAGCATAGCCCTGTTCAGCAATACAAATACTACAAAGCATTGGTGCAAGAGTTTCATGTGAAAGTGGATATTGGATTTTTGAATGCAATCTTAGCATTTTTCGAGGCAGAGGAAGTCTCAGATGCTGATGAGGTCTGTGTCATTTGCTTAAAATTGAACCAATTTATGAATATATTATTAAAAATGTAAATTAACAAGATTTTGAAAAAATTTCAGACTAAAACATTCTCTAATGACATGAAAGCTGTTGATGAACCCCTCATGGCTCATGTTGCTCTTCAATCCTCAGCTGAACAGAAGAATTTCTATGACCTTCTCCATTTTTCTCCTCTCAAGATCCATGTCAGTTTTTCACTAGGTGAAGGTGCCAGTTCACAAAACTTGCCTAGGGTTTTGAGTGTGCTACTAGAGAGTTTAGGTGTTACTCTTACTGATATGAATGATGTTGTATTCAAGTAAGGATATTGTATTTTCTGGTTAGTTAATTGATTAACAATGCGTTTAGTACTCGTATTTCTGATACACTTACTTCTGTTTTAGGCTAGCATACTTAGAGAGGCAATATGTTTTCCTAACGCAAGCTCAATTGCAGTCAGAAGCAACAATGCATTACACAGGACAACTGCTTAAGCAATTGTATGTTCTAGTCCTTGGTCTGGATGTCATTGGTAATCCATTTGGTTTGGTTGTTGGTTTTACTAAGGGAGTTGAAGATCTGTTTTATGAGCCGTTCCAGGTACTATGCTTGTCATCTGTATCTGTATTGCCAACTTCGCCTGTACCTTGAAAGAACACTCACCAGTAAATTCGATTTCCAGGGAGCAATTCAGGGACCAGGCGAGTTTGCTGAAGGTCTCATACTAGGTGTGCGAAGTCTGTTTGGCCACACAGTTGGCGGCGCTGCTGGTGCTGCATCCCGCATTACTGGAACAATTGGAAAAGGTCTTGCAGCACTGACTTTCGACAAAGATTACATCCGGAAGAGACGTGAAAATCTGAACAAAAGACCAGCTAACTTACAAACAGGTTTAGCTCAAAGTGGAAAAGGACTTGTAATGGTAAATGCAAATGGATATATTTTTAATTAATTTTGCTGTATTTTAAAGATTTGCATATTTTAACTTCTGATTAAATTTCCAGGGTGTGGTTGATGGTGTAACAGGAGTCTTCACCAAGCCAATTTCTGGAGCAAAAGAGGAAGGTGTTGAAGGCTTCTTCAAAGGTGTTGGTAAGGGAGTGGCTGGTCTTTTAACTCGCCCTACTGCAGGAATTGTAGACTTTGCCAGTGGATCTCTCAGTGCTGTCAAACGGTAAGTTGGTCCACATAAAATTTAAAGGATACTTCTGAAAGTATCTACAATTAATATTTCTCTGCTTCAGAGCTACTGAAATGACCGATGAAGTTGTACGCTTGAGACCTCCAAGATACTTCCAGCCTGATGGTCTTGTGCGTCCATATATCAAGCATGAAGCTGAGGGAAACAAGATTTTACGGGTACGATCGTACACATTATTTCATTTGTAACTACTCATTCTTTTATCATGTAATATGTTTTAAGCATATACTCTTTTTAAATTTTTTCAAAATCAGGAACTGGAAAAGGGGCGATACAACACAACTGATGCTTACATTTATCACATTGCAATGACACAAAGTGGAAAAGAACTTCTTCTATTGACAGATAAGAGAGTTGCTTACTTGAAAACCAATGACATATTTGGTGGCTGGCAGGTTTGTTTACTGAAAACATCTAGGTAATTAAATGTAATTTCAATTTTCCTGGTTTCTGTCTGACGTTTTATTTGTCATAGGTTGATTGGACCTACACATGGGCCTCAATGACTGAAGCTCCAAAGGAGGCTACCAATGGCATCCATCTATCCACTGGAGAACACAAGAAAAAAACTTTCGGTCTCTTTGGTGGCTCTGAGGGTGGCAAGTTAATAATAGTGCCGGATGCAAACCAACGTCAGGTAATGAATGCAACAAGCTCTCCTTCACTTTTGTTGTTACCTATTACATTAAGGTTGTGTATAAATAACATGTATCATTTTGTGTCCCATACAGTGGCTGCTTCTAAAAATGCAAGATCTGAAACGTAGGAGTGCCTAGTATTGGTGTCAGCTGTCACCGCAAGAGCTGTGCAGCTGGTATTCTTGTGTCTGATTTAATCAGTCTAAAATCTCATATCCATTTTTGTTTATTTCAACCCTGTACCTGAAATTCAGGAGTGTTACCTACTTAGCAAAAACTGGTCAAATTACTTATATTCAAAAATACGGAACCATTATTGCCACAATATAAATTGTCGAGGAGAGAAAACTACTTATGTGAGGAAGTGTATCCTTCCCTCCCAACGAATTCCCTATGAACTGTGTGTTAATGCATTTCCAAATTGCTTCCTTTCTTTTTTCTGAAGCAGCTAAAATGTCTTAATTGTTTTAGTACTGCATGGTAGCTTAAATATAAGCATTCAAGGTTAAATACAATTATTGGAATGTTTTATCTCCATTGTAGCGCACAACTCATTAAAATTATAGAGCAGGCAATAGGAACTACTTCATGACAATTTTTATCAAACTCATATTTGCAATTTTCTTTTTTTAATTTACAAAGGGATCTTTCTGTTTTTGTCAACTTAGCTGAAAGTCTGTACATTAAGGTTTTACAGATTGTTCATGCTGATATTCTTTTGATATTTACTAATAGCAGCTGAAATATTTGTCTTTTAAGCTGAATCTTTGTGCGTACCATTCTAGTCATATTAGTTGTTTCTGTCAAAACATATGTGTCATATAGCTACACAACGACTGTTCATTTATGCTGATTGGTACATACCCCAAGCTTTAAAATTGTACTATTTGTTCTAATTGATGCTTCTCTTTTCATTAGTCTGTTTTGTACGATTCTTAAATTAACTATCTATTTGGTGATCATCAAAACTATCTATGTATTATTTCATTACAACCCAGTGATTGTTGTATAAGACACTTACCCTCAAACCGGTCAATCTAGGATTGTTCATAAGCTATTTTTGTATGTGTTGATTGATTTTTATAAGTAAATTGAATTTCTAAAATCGTTTGATGATTTGTGTTTGTTTGTTTATAACTGAGACCATAGTTTTAAGTCAAGTTTTATTTCATTTGGAGGGTACTAAGAATTATATTTTGATATTTGAGGAATGACCGAATTTATCATAATTTCCACTTTCATTGTCCCTTTTGTTTAGCCAATCTTCTGTAATTTCTGGTAATTCATTTTAAATCATCAACTCTTTGCAAAATGGTGCAAAGATCTGACAAAACTGAAGTTGTACTTGAAACCTATTTCAAAAAAGACTTATTTCATAGTTGTGCTTTTATTTTCCATAAGGGCTTTGTTTTAATTAAGTTTATGAAGTGCAATATCTGAAAGTGTTAACATTTGTGTTTTAATTTAGTTTCTCTTAAATTGTTATTCTTTGTAAGGTCTGATGTTTGTTTCATTGTGTGTCTTGCAATTTGGTTGGTACAAATTGCGCCATTTTGGACTATATGGTAACAACACAGGGTAGCAATTGGACCTATATATCTTATAATTTAACACTTATCTTCCTAATCTTTTCTACTTGGTTTTTTAGCAATGTACCAGTGCGCTATAGGTTCTTCTTATATGCAATGTATAAGGAATCTCAATTGTTGTTGTTCTTTTGTGTCTGCCTCGTGCCGATAAATGTAACTTTTTGGACGGAATAAAACTACATTTGTTTCCAAATTTTGTAAATGCGTGCTTTGTCCCCGGCACCCTATAATCCCGTCGTCGTCGGCCTGATTTACTGGCGGTCCGGTCCAGGAGCGGCGGAGGCGAACAAGACCACCACGACGTACTACGGCGACGCACATGCGGCGGCCATCCTGGTCTACGTCAACATGTTGATGACTCGGCCCATTTCCCTCCTCACTTTCGAAATGTTGACGCGAGCTTGGCTGGCGGCGCGCATCGGGAGCCACACACTTGGCGCACGCCTGGCCTGCAGTCCCTCCTCCCCCGCCTCCTCCCCCTGCCCGTGCTGGCTGGCGCGGGCGCGCCACCCGCGGCCCAGTCCTGATTCCTGGTCCTCTACGTGCCGCGGACCACGGGCCATACTCACCGCGGGGGACACCGTGATTGTTGTTGTTGACGCCGCCGCACCTCGGTGACGCCGTGACGCACAGCGGAGCATCGCGCCGGCGCGCGGCCGGGCGGCGCGAATCGGAGTGACGATCGAATCGACGCGGAAGGGAAGGACCTGGAGGCGCCAAGCCCCCCGCAATGCCGGGAATGCCCTGGACGCGCACGTGTCCGCCGCCGACGACGTCTCGCAACTGCTGTCGAGGACCCGGGCCCTCGCCGACGTCGTCGTGGCCGGAGTCGACGTCGGCTTTGGTGGGTGAGAACACGCCGGAGCGCAGTAGTGTCGTTCCCGTTACCATGTCCCCTTTGTCAGGGTCCCGGCCGGCCCCACCTCGGCCTCTTGCCCCCGCCCCGCCCCCTGGGCGAGGTCGAGTGCATGGCATGCCCTGTTTTCTCCGATCGAACGTCATCGCCAAGCCAGTCCTGACACCCCCCCCCCCCCACACACACTCACCGTTCTTCTC